GAAAGGTATAAGACGACAAATTTTTGAAATTTGTGAGCTAAAGCTTTTCCCTATGAACCCTTTGGAGACAAATACAATTTGTTGCGTAAGTTTTCTCCCGACAAAATAATTCGTTTGCTGAAATTAATTTTACCTACAAAATGTTTCACTTTTCCCTACAAATCATGTTGTTGGCTAAATTGTATTTTTCCCTACAAATAATTTTTTTTGTACGAAAAGGGTACTTGTTCTAAATGGTACATATTATTTTGTAGGCTAAACTATTTTTCTCTACAAATATTTTTTTGAGGGGAAAGCACAATTGTAGGATATTATGAAAGAATTCAAAGGAAAAAAAATTAAATTATTTTCATATTTTATTTTTTATTTATATTGTAATAATTTTTTTAACCTTATTTAAAATAATATAAAAACGCAAAAAGATAGTGTCAATCAACATAACATTGAATCCAAAAATATTTTATCAAACAACAAATAAAAATCATTTACTAAGTATCATTACATCTAAATTTAAAAAAGCATGGCAAGCATGATCTATATCTATAATTATGCACCTAAAAAATAGAACTCTTTATCCTCAAGAATTAGATAGGCAGCAAATCCTCCTATTCTATCAGGTAGAAGATCATAAAACAAATCATATTGCTCCTAACTCAGAGATGACAATCGTTGATCCTGATTCCGCATTTGCAGTCCTCCAGGCAACACCCACGCCTAGAAAAGTTGCTACGTATTGAGAGATGTGCTTCAAACCTATTTAAGAATAAAGTTATGAGTAAAATAACCTATACAGAAACTTCGTTAGCATCAAGTAATTCTTCAAATGGAATAGGACATTCGCCAACCAGGCACATTTGGGAAAATTTCTTTGAGCTTTAAGAATTAAGTCATTGGTTGTTGGCGTAGAAAGAAAATTTCTCCATACAAGTGGATTAGCTAAATACCTTCGAAATGAAGACAGAACAAGAAGAGGCCTCTTCAGTATATCTCTTATTCATAGAATCAAGGTATAAGACATCAGAGAAGCCTCTGTTCC